AGGTTGGACCAGATGAGCTTCAGAGTTGCCTGTCAACATATCTTATTGTACARTTCTGTGTGTGCAGCAAACCTCTTAGCCCTGTGCATGAACAAGTATGTCACAACCAAAGGAATAACCAGTGTTTTATTTCACACTGCAGTGGCCTCCCTTGCAAATTTAGGAAGAGTGACTCTTGAGTAGAGAAATCTATCAGAAAGGCAGGTCTGAGCTGGAGAGTTGAGTGCACAGCTGCCACAGAGGACAACAGGACTTGCATGCAATTCAATGGAAAAAGAAAGGATGTCTCAATCATAGTCTGTAAGGATTTAAGAAGTTGGTTACATCTGGCCAGTTCTGCATGTTTTTTATTCTTCTCATCTAATATAGCTTCTTCTGTCACCTTCTTCTTGTCTTACCTTGTTTCACCACATCTTCTGCTGAAAGGAACCCATCTTGGGTTTCTGACCTTTTCTGAGCCCTTCATCTTTCCAAAGTCTCCTGTTTCTCTTTTAGTTCACTCTCAAGATGCTGATATAACTCTGGACTATCTTGCTTGTGGTTGCAGTTCTGGTCAAAACTCCTGACCATCAGCTTGCTCCTTGTTCCAGACCTTAGCTCTAGCCACCAGGCAGGACTTTCCACACAACACTTTATGAAACAAGAGAGAAGGATTTTATGTTCTCTGTGCCTTGGTTTGGATTGTGTATGTGTGTTATGCAATACCTATTTCAGCTTGGTTATTATTCTTATTTAATGATCATCTCACATATTATTATCCCCCATAAGAAAACTCATAATTTGTATGCAATAACAATAGCAATAAAGAATTCATACGAGCAGTTTTCTACTTGGCTCTTTAAACTGAAGACAATCAAAAATATTGCTCAGAAAACTAACCCAGTCAATCCCTGTGCCTTTACAAGCACCAGTATATCATACATAGCAGGGCAGGCTGTTAAATACAATCAGTCAAGATGAAAAATAGGAAGCTAGTGTTATCCCAGCTCTCACCAGCAAGCTTACAGTGCAAAATGTACTGCTTTGAAGCAGCTTTTGCAAAATGTAGACAACACAAGGGATGAGCTAAGGTCAGCTGAGGGGGAAAAACGAAGACCAGTGTGCTTGCAGAGATGGAAAGTGAGGRAGAGCCCATTGCCACTGTCTTTCCCTTTACAAACACTTAATCTTAAAAGCTAAACTATAAATATGATGTTACATTCACATGATCCCACATATTGAATATGTGGGTACACATCACTATGCAGCAGTTTGAAAGTGAGACTTTGAACTTCGAATGTCCAAGCCTTTTTCTAGTAATTTGATTCTGAAACTTGCCACAGAAAAGCACTGTTAGGAAATGGAGTAAAATGGCATGAGATCCATGTAAAATGATGGCAAGACAAAGAGCAGCTGTTTTACCTCTGCARCTATCTACGGATATTCTGAGTTACTCTGACACTGTCAAAGAACTTTAAAAAAAAATGTTTCTCTCTTCTGCCTTGGATTTAGGAGTCTAGTTATTTTTGTTCATCTCTATTTTTTTTCGTTCATTTTTTTTTAAACATCAGAGAAGAAATTTTCTTTTTAATCTAGAAAAAAACAACTTTCAGGCAAGTCAAGGAAATAGCCCTTGTCCTTCTTCTTTTTTTTTTTTTTTTTTTTTTTTTTATCAGGATGATTTTGAACTTGAAACAAACACAAAGGTAAAGGTACAAGTGTTAGTTCTTTCTACTTCAACAAATACGTAGTCTTTCTTTTACAGCTACTTATTTATTCACATCCATTCAGTGTCTCATAGATCACAGGATGTGCAGAGTCTCCAAAGGGAATTAGACTCTTCCTATTCCACAGAATCCATCATATTTCCAGCTTTGCTCATTTTGTCTCAAGCAATGTGTGCATGGATGTGTCATTACTCACCAAGGACACAACTAGTCATGGGTATCAGGGGAAACGCAGAAAAAAAAGCTTTAAGTGTCTGTCTGTGTCTGTGTGTGACTGAAAAACACATCCTTGGGGGTTTTAACTTGCAAACTGGGTTAGTTAACTTATAAAATATGCCTGAGAACAGCTGGAATCCAACTGAATGCAGCAAGTCCCAGCAAATTGTTAGTGGGATTCATTTTGAAATAAATATTCAATACATAATTTGTCAGTATGTTTTCAATCTGAAGTGTGAAAGCAGATTGAAGCTTCTCCCACGGGCTTTAAAAGCACTGGCTTTTAAAGACTAAGCTACGAAAGCACAAGCAAATATGAGTGTTAATTCTACAGCAACRTTTGAGAAGGTGTCTCAGATAATAGGCATTTGTTTCTAGTTTCCAGGGTAGCATTCAGTACTGATGAGGGGAAACAAATGGATTTCATTGTCTTCTGCTTTTCCAAATGATTGTTGAATTATTTAACACGTACATAATGTTTTGAATTTTGTTTCTAATTATTTTATCTTTGCATCTAGTGTTCAGTTTGAAGCAAATTGTGTGTGTTCATTAGGAAATGTAAATACCTTTAGAGAACTGTGCATTTGCTTGTATTTTCAGAATTAAATGCTGAAATCTCTCCAGCAGAATACAAGAGCATGTAGGTTTAAGAAATGCACACTTTTGATATTTAAATTCTTTTTATAATTTTACATATTTTGCATTATTTTATATTATTTACATTTATATAGACTTTTTGACACTTCATGAGAGATACGATAGAGTATGAGATTAGTTATTGTTTTACACTCATTCAGGCCCATGAATGACTGAAATATTTGGTTTTCTCTCTGAGCTGAGCTGGGGTGTGAAACTTTTTTTTGTACAATATAAACTCTGAATTATCTCTAGGGCACCTGGAGATAGAAAAGATCAAACCATATACCCTCCTGCAGTGCTAAACCCTGCAGTACAACATGATGGTGATCATCATACCAACACTCTCCTACTGACTTTTAAAACTTAAAATTCTAGATTTCACTACAACATAAAAGTCTGTCCCCAAACTCTTGTCATTTAGAAATGAATTTTCCCTGCAGGAACTTTTCCTGAAATCAGCATGTTTTCTGAATATTTCTGYTTTAACAGGCTAATATTTGTTGTCTCAAATGAAAAATGAAAGAACAAACTCCATTTTTAGGGGAAAAAAAAAAGCATTGAGCAGAAGTTCTTATTTAAGTTTTGATGCCAGGGACAGCTTTTCCCCTAAAATTTCCCTGCGGGTGATGAGCTTARCAGAAAGATAATAGTTTGCTCCTGGGGACTGTCTTCTCTCTTGCCTTCTGTGTGTTTCCGAAATCCCTTCCCAYGGAGGGTGAGGAGGGCCACGGAGCTGCTGCCAGGGAGCTTTCTCCTTGGCAAGGAGAACCCAAATAATCACTAGCGCTGCGTTCCCTGCTCCTCCTGCTCGTCCCCGCAGGATTTTTTGCTTCTCTTCTTTGCTCTCTCCTTTCTTTCAACTGAGCTTTAATTGGGGATTTTTTGTTCCTTGCTTTGGCTTTGAGGTCGTGAGCCTGAATGAATTCTCCAGGTATTCCCTGCTCAAAACTTCTGAAAAGCAAAAGTAGTTAAGTACTATACTCCTTCTTATATACTTGTATACTCCTTCTTACTGCTGAAAGTATAAGGAAGACAGGCTTCCCTTGCTGTTGTCTGTATCTGATATTTGCTGCAAAGAAACTTATGAAGGAGCTTGGCATATATCCCATTTGCCTTATTTTTTATTTTGAAAATCACAGAAAAAAGGTCTCACTGCCATGAAAAATAAAAATGACACTTGAACCTGTAACTGAAATATCTATGTCTTATAAAATAAGCTCTGTTTGGTCTCACTGCTCCTGTCACAAGTTGCTTTCACTCAATCCTTAGTAATGAAATGGAACCATAAACTTGTTTTATGTCCTGCTTGGTAGTAAAATACAGTGTCGCAGGTGGCAGGYGGGAGAAAATTTATATCCTCCGTCGCTTCACTGTGGACAGCATTAATCACAGAGGAGAATCGTAGCCTCAACGTTTCCCGTTTATAAAGCGTAGAGAAAATGGAGATGAACTGGAGTCAAAGTGTGAAGGAGAGCTAGGTGTTCACCAACTGCCCATGTGATGAATGGGGCAGTTATTTGTRGATGCCTATGGGCTGCTCAACCTGCTCTTTCCCAGCCATCTCCCCTCAATCAAGGGATGGGTTGAGGATGGGTAGCTGTCACAACTTGCAGATGGGATGTAGCTGCTTGGTCTTGGAGGCAGTTGGTGATAGCAAAGCTTGAAAACTGTCAGACCATMTTGAGCCCATGAAGGGAGAGGTCCTGAGAAATTCTAACAGCTGTCAAGCTTCCTTCCATGCAAAATTAAAGGAAGAGGGAAAACTTGCAGAGTTTCTGGAGATCATCACCCAAGAGAGTCCTTGGACATCATGATGTCAGTGGGCAGGGTTAGTAGTTGCAGGAAAAAGGGGAGGTGCAGAGATCGGGATTGATCTGCGGAGTCACAGGGATGCCCAAGGAGGATGAGGGCAAGGACACAGCCTGGCACTTACCTGGGACACATGACTTCGTGTGGTCCTGCTCTAGCTTCTCCTCTAACCCAGAAGATCTTTGGCTGAGAAGCCACAGCATTGTAAGGAGAGTTCCTGACAGGGCACAGAGATCAGAACAGACCGGATAGGCTACCCACGTAGTTTTATCTGGGCCTTAATGGCATTTGTCACAGAACAGATGGCCAGAGAACCAAAACTGTAAAAAAAAAAAAGCCCGTTCTGCTCCTCTTTGTTGTGGTGGATTTTTTATTTATCTATTTATTTCTCATGAACCCCGTCATGTCTGTGGAAAGTCACAGTGTCATCTCTGTGACTGCCAGGTTAGCATCCAAAGCTGCCATCATAGAGCATCAGCGTGTCTGTGCAAAAGACCAGGATATGCACTGGTGAAATATTGCTCTTTTGCCTTTCTGGTATGTGTCTCAGTGATATAGTTCTGCCCAATTACAAACAAAATGTAGAAATTGAGTTTCTTTCTAACCTTTTCTTTATTTTTCCTAAAACAGGTTTGAAGAAAGAAGTACAGAAAGATCAGGAAGCCAATAGACCGTCTGTCTCATCCCCAAAGAGATCAGCGACATCAGCCACCAAGCCCCATTCACCAGGTATTTATGAACCCGAGAGCTGCTTCATGGAAGATTTAAACTTGTCGACTTTGCAGCTCTTGTTAATGCACTAAAATCTGATTCCTACTGTTAAGGGAAGATTGATTGTGTTCAAGGTTCGTTAATCTGGCTGTAAATACTGCGGGCGTCATCATACCAACTGGATAGGCTTATATCTTCTTTGTTACTAACATGCCCTCATCTCTCCTCCACAACAAAAGGGTCTTACCATTACATATTTAAGCGCACAGCAACATTTTTTTAATCCTTATAATTTTCTTTTATAAAAAATAAAAAAGGAGCAGATAGAGTGAAATAAAAGACATTCCAAAACAATTGTCTAGAATGATAGTATATTGCTTGGAATCCACTGTCACTGTTGTGCAGAAGCACAAAATTTCCTATATTATTTTATGGATAATTGGAAAAGACATTTTCTGTAGTGATAACCTTCAAATTTCTATCAAGGCATTGCCAATTTAGCCCTTAATATTGTACACAAGCACACATTTTTATTATTGTTATCAAGACTACTGTGTATTTACTAAAACACACAGAACTTCTTTCTATTTCTGTCTGCTATCACAAATTAACACACCTATCGGGAATGCACATGGGTGAGATTTCTCTTTTATACGGCTGKTTTTTTTGACCAATCTAAATGCTACTGATAGGAGTGGGCATGTTCACACTGTTCTCATTGTGCTTGCAATGTTTTCTGTTGGTCTCATTCTTCACATTGTTTTGAAATAATTTAAATGTCATCTCTACAGCAACACAATACCTGAGTGTAATTATGGGGGTAGAATCCCATGCATTTCATTTGTCAGTGAATGAAGATCAGCGCTTTAGCCTTACTCCTCAGCTTTTTGTCAAGACTATCTTCATTTTTTTGCTAAACTTCATTCCTAACCTTCCTTTTCCAAGCCAACAAAATCAAGAAAGCAAAAGGCTAAATTTTATCTTTTCCAGGCATCACTTGGCCTCAGAATCCTTCTCCTTCCTCAGACACTGGGGTAAAATGATGAATTTACAGTGTCCTCTAAAATTTACTATTTTCATGATATTTTGAATGATTTTGACCATTGACAAATTTTGACCAGTATCACAAAAGAGAGCTCCAAAGAAGAGTTTGCTGCAGAGAACAAGTGCCAGGCCAGCAGCTCCTCTGTATTTACCCCAGAGGAGAGCAGCTGAAGCACCAGCACTGATYGTGGTTGTGCCTGCATGTGACAGCACAGCTGGTTTGCTGCCACCAGAACTGAAAAGCAAAACGGAACAGGGCCGTATTTGTACTGCTTGATTTTAAAGAGGCTTAAAGAGAGTATTTCCATCAGTGGCTTAATGATTTTCAAGGCTTAAATTTTTGTCATATCCAATTCATGATGCCTCAGAGGCAGCTTCGTTTTCATGAGAATTTGAGCACTTCCCCTGTCTCCCTCAGACTTCATTAGGATTTCTTAAGCTGATTATGAGAAATTATCGGCCTTACGGCTGCTCGTCACTATTAGGACCAAATAAGAAATCTCAATTTCATTTAATTTTTACAGTGGTCTTCGGCATTCTTTGAAACACAAGCAGCAATAACTAAGTAATGCAGAAAGAGGATCATGTCACCTGTTCAGGGCTTTCCCTCTGTTATTAGCCTGCTTATATGCAGGTCCCATTTCTCTGCATTATTTTTGGCTGTTATATAAACCTTACCACAGGAAGATTGAGCATCCATTTGATTTTAGCTTTGGGTCTGATCTTTGGAATTTGGACCAATCTTCATAAAGAGTAGTAAAGAAATTTCAAGAGGATGAGTTCTTATATGCAGCTCAATTTTATTTATTGCCACAGCCCATTCCTGAAATCCGGAAGCACAGGTGTGCATAGATGCAAGTACTATCCCACCAGCCCATTGCAGGATGCTGCAATCTTTTTTTGAGACCTATCATTCTGCAAACTGCTTGATTTCAATCCTCTCAAAGTAATTTCTTCACCTTCCTAATCACAATGTTGGAAATCAGGCAGTTTAAAGTTCAGTAAATCACAAGCAACAGCTAAATCCTCACGGGCTGTGTTAATTACGACTATCCACTTGTTATGGCATCTTATTTCAAACACTTAGGTAGATAAAACAGACCTGGGAATTTTGAAGCAGATCAAAGGAGTTCTGTGATTTCAGCACGCAGTGGGTCTGGCTCCCCTGTTCCTACCATCAGCACAGAGGACAGTCGGGAGCAGGGCCAGAATCATTAACATATACCCTCTTTTGTGCAGAGCAACAGAAAAGAAACATCAGTTGCAGAATAAGCTTAATAAGATACTTTTCATACCCAAATGAATAGAGAAATTCAGATTTATTCCCAAGGTAAATATCACATTTTAATATACAAGGACAGCTTAGACTACTAACAAGGACAACAGAGAGATGGGTACTTCAAATGTTCCACTGAACTGGGAAACCAGGAAGATATAAGACAAAAGAAGATGATGGAGTTTTGCTTTAATTAAGTCTAGACTAATTTCTAGGGTTTCTCCCTCCGTTTCTGTCTGTGGTTTCTGTTGCAGCATCACTATGCTGCCTAAACAAACCAAGACTTTTGTACTAAAAAGACAGAAATACTAAAAAGACAGAAAACTTTTGCTTTGGTTCATTGCTTGTTTTGTGATAAGACCTATTGTGCAGTTAAGGATCCCTTTAAATGCAGTTCTGTAAGAAAACTGTTCTTGCAAAATAAAACAAAACCAGACAAACTGAAAAAAAGGTGCACAAGCTAAGCTGACATGACATCTAATGGAGAAGATGTGTAATGGGCAATAACTATTCTGTTTGAGCTAAAAACCAGAAAGTAATATCCAGTATTGTGTCATTTAAGTCCTGTAACATTATGAAGATTATCTTGAAAAGCTGCAAAACCTGGTGCTCCTCTTTGCAAATGCAAATCATGGGCACAAAAGTTTTAAAGCCTAGGCTTTAAAAACAGGCTGCCCAGAGAGGTTGTGGAGTCTCCTTCTTTGGAGATCTTTAAAACCCGCTTGGATGCAGCCCTGTGCCACGTGCTCTAGGTGACCCTGCTTGAGCAGGGGGGTTGGACTCGATGACCTCTGAGGTCCCTTCCAACCTTCGGCATTCTATGATTCTATGATTCATTCTATGATTCTATTTTACACTTGTGAATTTTTGCAGTTGCAGAATGGACCATTTGGAGATACAAGGGAGCACCTCTCCTGAGGCTGGCTCCATGTAAGCAGAACCTGCAACCAGAATGCAAACAAGTACATTGGGAGACCTGGTCCCAGTAGTTTTACCTGGGACCATCAAGTTAGTGATGGTCTGAAATGGAGGAATTATGGAGGATATAAGGAAAAAATGGATGCAATGGATCTGAAACAGAGGAAATGCAGTCCTGGGTCATGCTTTAATGAAGCCTTACCGCTTTCTGGCTTGATCTAGTAGAAGCGCTGTAAGGATCCATTTGTACATCTGTGCCACAGTCTAAAGATCTAATCTGCCAAAATTACCACTAGAATAAAGCCTTTTCTTGCAGGTTGACTCAAAAGCAGCCTATCAAGTGTGTTTCTTTGGAAGAACTCTCCAGTTCTTTCAGAAAGGGTAGATAGTGTCTATGGTCGGAGATAATCCCCCATTGCTTTCATTGCTAAGGGCTAGCTAGAGATACTTTTTCTGTATTATTTTTCAGAAACTGCATACATACCAACTACAAGATACCTTTTATTTTTTCAGATTCTTCCATACATAACCCTTTCCTCTAACACAACCATGCTTATTTTTATTCTGTCTTCAAGCAATGTTTGCCCTCTCAGGTAATATATGGGAACAAGATTTCTGCTTCACTTTTTTTCTCTCCTTACTCACTCAAGCTGCTGGGCTAAAAGCTTGGGAGTGGTGTAAGAAGCTGGGAAAGAAAACCAGATAATCCTGGCCTGCATTCAGGAAAGCTAAAAAGCAACATCTTGGGCAAAACTGAGGGTAGCAAAGAAAATCAGTAAGCTGTGCAAGTGTGTTATCTAGCTGAACATAAGTGTTTGCAGGGGATATTTCTTAGAAGTCTGAAAAGACAAAGGTAAAACAGACTGTCCAAACTAGACCCTTCCACAACCTGATGCACTCAGGATGCTATCCTTTTTTGCTTCATTCTCATAACTGGGTATTAATATCCAGAGAAATGGATAGTTGACACAAAAAGAATATGAGCATAACTTTGACTAAAAGCTTCACTTACCTAAGATGGCTTGTCATGAGCAAGCTGTAGTTCTGCAGCCATTCACGTAAACATGATACCATATTTGAGCTAATAATCTTTACTAAAAACAAAATATATTAGTGTCTCATATCTTTATAATGGACCTGACTTGTTTCAAGACAGCTCGGAGCATGGAGAGAAACTGGAGACTATCTGGGCCCATTCATGCAGGTATATCCCATAGTGATATGGGTAAGCCTGATGACATAGCAGCCATGCAGAGCCAATGGCATCGCTAATCGATGATATGCTGTTGGATCCCATCTGTGCAATTCCTGTTGAAGAATTCAATCGGCCTCTCTACTACTGCCAAGATAAACCAGACATTATCCCTAGGAACCTTAGAGGATGAGGGTTTTAACTCGCTGCCTGACATTGTTTCCATACACATATATTTTCGGCGTGAAAACTAGAATTTTAAAACCTAGCCTGCGCTGTTATTGATAAAAAGAAATAGTGATATCTCAATTGCAAACAATCCGCTTGTGTTTGCATTCATGGAGGGACAATTTCTGCTCCACACTCTTCTATTTGGAGACTGAGTCTGAGAAGTCTGAGGATAGCGTGTTCTTGCTACTAACCCTGGACCAATTCAGCAAAATGCAAGGACCAATGCAGTAAAATGATCTCTCTGAGTTCAGGTCGGGCTTAAACTTGCAAGAAAGCAATCAATGCTGTGATCCTTCTGTGATCCTTCTCACCGGTATTTGGTGAGTCCATAAAGATACTGATAAAAAGTCCATAAAGATACTGAGTGCATTTTTATAGAGCTCTATTCAATGTACTTGTGTTCCCTTGAAACTCCAATAATGGCAGCAAAAGCAAATGACCTTATATTCCAATCTGAGAGTAGATACATCCRGACAGAAAGGTGTGGCAAAGAAGTTTGAGCTTTGAATTGTGTTTTCTCTSTCTGCACTGATCTGTGAAGCACTGYAGACATACCCACAGGTTGGTACTCAAACAGTTAGGTGAATGAACCTGTATCAGTAGCATCTAGAGAGAGAGAGCACATAAGTACCGTAGGAGTGAGTTCTTTTGAAATCACTGCAGCCCTGTAGAAATGCTGAGACAAGGAGGAGATGAAGCAGCCCTCCTGACTGCCAGCTTGCCYGCTCGTCATGGGTCCCAACTGTCAGAGCAAAGTCTTACACTTCACTACCCATAGAAGAGGACTTGCAGTTCGGATTAGCATGGCTTTGCAACTCTGTTTTCTTCACACTGTTTGCTCAGTGACAGAAATACTGGATCCTCCATGGAGATTCACAGGCACTTGTGAGCGATGCTTTATCAAGAACTTGTTAACAAAATTGGACATCAAAAAATGTACAAATTCAGTGTGTTCTTCCTGGCTACACTGATTTTGCTAAGTATCTCGTGCACTCCATATCCTTATTGAGCCAACAAATACTGGTCCAGTTTTGCACTCCCTCTTAATGCTCCAGTTTTTGCTAGAGTCAGAAAAGAGAAGTAAAGTCCTTGTTAACGCCTGCCTGGGGGCACTTTACTCTTGTGTGAGGCCAGGACCTGTCTGCTTTCAGGTTGCTGTATTCCCTTCCCCACACACAGATCTTTTCAAATGTAGAGTAATGTCTTGTTCCAATTCCCAGCATCATGGCCTTCGAAGCCTTGGCCTTTGCTAGTGCTATGACCCAAACTCACAAGCCTGTGAGTCTGACCTTGCAGGTGCTGAGTCAGGTAGTGGTGATTACACAACAAGAAGGCAAACAAGTCTAGCAATTGCTCTAATTTTGTTCCTCTCTTTGTGTCCGTCAGTTGATTATATACGTTTCTGGTCACCATGCTGTGCCTGCTTTCCTCATATGCATGAAAGAGGGTAGAGTACCAGAGGAATCCTGCCTCTAGCAATCTCATTTGTTCATAACACAGCAATTAAAAGAGTTCTTTTCAACTCTTAGCAACCTTCAGGCTTAGATCCTGACATGAGATGAGTGCTACAAAGCTTGGGACGCTAGGAAATTTTACAGACTTTTTTCCTTTTCTAGAGCTGAGCCTCAAAGGCTTTAGAAGCATGTAAAGGTTGTGCCCATAAAGTCACTGACCATAATGGCCTTTTCTTTCTTTTTCTCATAGGACATCCCAAACAAAGGTCAGCTACTCCAAAGAATGGATTTTCCCCCAAGCCAGGAGGAGAGAGTCGAGAGCCTGAAAAGCAGTTCGTCCAGAGGCTGAAGGAGAAGTGTGACGAGCAGTCCAGGCAGTTGAGCAGTATTCGAGATGAACTGAAACGGACCAGCTGTGGCTTTGTTGTCTTTGCTATAACAACACAGCACTTCTTCAGGCAGGTAAGTGCGATAAGTACTTTTCACCATTAGAAAAGTACTTCACCTTTATGGCAGTCAGTTGCCCAAAGTTATTATTTCATATTCATTGTAACCCCGTTCTTGGAAGGAAAGCATATAATTTCATATCAACAGTCACTACAAGATGTGAAGTTCAGGAATTTGACAGAGAAAGATTAATATCTGGAGTCTTGGTTACAAGCATGAAGGGTTTCAAGATGCTTTTGGGGATGAAACAGATGCAGAAACTTGGGAAGTCCCAGCAGTAGAGCTGGGATGCAGAGTGTTACTCCAATACTGATGTCTAAAAACAAATGCAAAGACAAGGCATTAAGTAACCAGAGGTGGTGTGTGAAGAAGATAGGCTTTCTCCTTGCACTTATCTACTCTTCCTGTTCACTGCAGTTTGTTGTCCCATATAGTCACTGTTTCGATGTTAGCAGWTCCTGAAGATGTAGGAATAACATTATCCCAGAATCTAGGTGATCCCATATAGTAAGTGTAAGGAACATGAAGAAAGTGCTGTAATCATTAAAGCAGCTTGCTTGCTCTCTAAATCTAAGACAAAATAGATAAAGTTTAAAAGACAAGCAGCGTGACTGCCAAGGAGATGTAGGTACCGCTTGCTTCAAAAGCCTCTTGGTCTGGGAAATTTAGCAGGGGGTTAAAGTGCCAGATGTCCAAGTCATTCACCTGATGTCCCAAGCATTTTAAATCACCGCAGATGATAACCTGGTAACCTAAAAGCATCTGACTGCTTTCTAAAGCACACAGACAATCACCACCAGTAGAAGTGAAGTTCTGCAAAAGATCCTGGATTGACCTGGTTGTCTAGTTTTGCAAGAGACAAGAACAAACTTTTAGGACTGAAGGGTGAAAAAATAAAAAACACGCAGAATCCAGCATCAAAAAGCCATTACAAGTATAGAAATACTTTATGTAGTTATTTTTATGTTAGTGAGGAAGGTTGCCTTTGAACAGATATCACGGCTCAAACTTTTCCCTAAGTAGGAGCTGATCTTGCTAGGGGGAGCTTGACCGACCTGAAAAAAAAMCAGAGAATTTCAAAAAGTGCTAAATATTTTAAATATTTTCCCAGGGGATATTTTCTTCTCTGTTTTTCTTTATTCATGACATTTCTGGGCTTGCTGGGCAAGCTGACAGTGGAGTGTCCTTGATTAAGTCYGAGGGAAACAAAAAAGGGCACAGCGGTGTCGGCACAGCTTTGTCTCTGTGTTGTCCACTGGGGAGAGATTTTTCATCTCATGCATCATTCACAGTTTGCTAAAGGAATTTGGAAAGCTTGGGTGTATCTCCATCATCTCSTCTGGATACGTCTTAAATGAGAACAGCTGCTGCAGCTGAGTTTGGTGATGACCCCAATCCTGTTGGYGCATATTGGATCTGTCCTGAGAATGCCTCTTAAACTGAAGGCCTTGGGGGAATTTAATAGAGTCATCTCCAAATGTTGATGGGGCACAGCTGTGCCACATGTTCCTCCTCTCTCCTGCCCAAGCTGGGCCAGCTCTGTTTGCTCTAATACTTCCTAATACAGGTGCCTGGAGAGCTTGGAAGTAAAGGCAGATACCCATGGAATTTAAGCACCTTCAGACATAGGCAGCATTTAATGGAGAATTTTTTCAAATGCACTCTTTGGCCCATTCTGGACCCACATCACCACTCAAGGCTGTGTGGAGCCACACATCAAGGCAGCCCAAAAGAGGCTGCCCTGGCTGCTGGGAGCAGTGTAATAGTGACCACCTCCCCAGCAGAACCACCCAGCAGCCCTGGGTGGCCACCTGAACCTTCAGCATGAAGCCAGGGTCTTTTCAATTACCTGATTGTGGGCACTCAAATCTTGTAGATAAATTAGGAAGGTCTTTGCTTTAGGTTCCATATGTAGTGAGTGGAAGCAAAGGGGAAGTTCCAGAAGGTAATTTACTGCTCTCAAGTTCTGAGTTTTGGTTTGAGGTACTTGCCTGTCTCCACTGAACAACTAGGGAGCCAAAAGGCTGCTGCATCTTTAAGGTAAATACTTAAATTTGGAGCTTACCTGCAGTGGGATGGACCTGGTTTGATACAAGCAATTGCACTGTGATATTGGCTGTTTCCTTTTAGAGGGATGTAGACTTGTGAGTCTTTGAGTGGCATTTGAAAATATGATCTGAAGACAGTTTCTGAGATGCTGTTATTGTTTGAAAGCCCGGGCAAAATCACTGTGGCTGGCTTTGAGTTAGGGCAGCATGGGAAAAAAGAATTTTTTCCATTATGAAAAAGAAATAATAACTATGTGTGTTTGTTTCTGAGAAGCCTGCAAGCAAAAATGATTGAGGTCTGAGTAAAACTGCAGTCTGGCAAGGAAATAATAATCATTTAAGAATGAGATGGGGCATTGCTCCAGAGAAGTTTGGTTTTGATTTGTCCAAGTGACAGTTCTGCTTTGCTAAGCAGAGGGCCCAACCCTGCCTAGGTGCTAGGGAGCTTTTGGGGCTAATAATCACATATAGCCCAATTTTTTTAGGATGTATTTCTTTCTACTTACACCACATCAAATTAATATCTGAAGTCTTTTTTTTTTTTTTTTTCCAAATTGGAACTGAATTCTCTTGGAAAATCTGTCCCCAGGCAGTGAGAACTGGACTCTCAAAAGCACACCCAAATGCTTTGCTTGGAGGCAGGAGCCTTTCTCTGCTCGTGGCTTTCTAAGTTTGCTCCTACCTTTTCTGTTATATTTCCAAAACTGGAGAAAAAGCCCATGTTGTTAAAAAACTTACCTGTTTCATCTCTGTTGTGGCTGGAAGGACTGTGCTGTCCATGAACACAGAGTCTCATAGTCRCACGATGAAGACGAGGAGCCTTGTGCTCCCTTTGAGCAGGGTTTGATCAGCTCTTACCTGCTCCCCTCCTGCTTGCCTTCCTGAGCACCCACAAAGTCCAGCMGGAGTGTTTAGCTGTTGGAGGGGGTATCAACATGTAGTAATGAGTGTTCGCCCACACCAACGATTACTTTGAATGCTTTCCAGTTTTAAGCACTTGCTGTAGCAGTCTTTGTGTTGCCTGACCCCTTTTTYTCCTTGGGATTTTGTGTTCTTGCTATTCAAAACCATTGCAGGATTGTACCCTGAACTCATCTCTCTCTCTCAGCTGAAAATTCTCTTAACAGGCCAGACAAATTTAGTGGGCATCAAGGAGTGTGCCTCATGTAACGGTACTTAATGCAGACCCATTAAACGTCAACTAAACCTATTTTCTATCCTAGAGAAAAGGTTAGGCACTCTAAGCAGAAGATGACTCAGTTGGACTATCAAGAAAAATTAAAGCAGTGCTTCTGACATAGGCRTTTAGCAATTGTGAAAAGCAATGATTACAGTACCTGTGGACAGGTTTGCTMTTAATTATTATTTAGTTAGCAAATTGAAGAGTTAAAGCCCTCAGACGTGCATACATGACTTCTCTTGACTTTGGGGACAGCTGCAAACTTACCTGCAAGTGTTGTGTGGTGCTAGTCTGTACTTTATGTTTGATATTCACCACGTGAGGATAATCTGCAAGTTGTGATGGATGCCCTGAAGTGAAGAGCTGACTGATGGGAACTGCTGTGATACCATGAAGAKCTTTCAGACAGAACAACATAGCGTTCCTGACCTGATCTGGGTCAGTGACATTGCCAGCAGTTTGCAGTTCTGTTTAGCCACAGTGCCCAGTCCCTGCTGGAAGTGGTAACAGTGCCATCTAAAGGAGAGCAGCCCAAAATGACATAGCCTGGAAAATGCATAAACGGGGCAAAAATCCACTTGCACATTTCTAGTGCACTCGGAGCAGAAGTGTCTCTGCTGAAGACTATTCCTGCTCCGAGACTCTGGAAACTGGGTGAACAGAATCCATGCCTCACCTGACAATTCCAACACACGTGAACAGCCAAAAACCAGACTCTTGATAGCAAGTTTGGCACCCTAATGTCCAARTTAGGACTCCAGATAGACAGATGCCCAGTTGCTTTCTCATCATCTACTAGCATTTTTTCAAGCCATGCGTAGGGTTATCATTCTTGTTCATTTTAGGTTCAGTCATAAATATTCACGGCACTCTGGAGTTGTGGTTTTTTTTTTTTTTTTTTTTTTTTTTTTTTTTTGTTCTCTGTGGTACTGGTGGGAAATGGAGCAGCTGCAGATGTGACAGCAAAGCCAGGGTAAAGCAGAACTGCCCTAACCTGACGTGCTGGGTGATGTACTGGTGCTGCACCACCTAGGCAGCTCCTGCCTCCCATCCGCAATGCCATGGTGGGATGGAGGGTCAGACAAATCCCATCCCAGGCTGGTTTCTGCCTCTGGAGCTGAAAGAGTGTGACAGTACATGAGGGTGTCCAGGCACTCAGCATCCCTTAGTACAGAGCAGGACTTAACCACCTGCAGGGAGCATGTCCCTGTCCCYGCGTTTGGATGTGGGGACTTGCAGGTGGGCCCATACGTACCTTCTGGGCAAGGAAACAGAGAGCCTGAAGAAGGGACAAGATAGACATTGTCTCCCATTCCAATTCTTGAGACGTGCCTGCATRTGTATCTTTTAAGAGCAACGTTTCTGTCCTGTGAATGGACARTATCCCACTTAGTAGAAGCAGTTGYGTAATCCTTTTACCTCTTTCTCCCCTCTAGAACTGGAACCTTGTACAGATGGCATGTTTGGAGGGTCACACTTAGCACTGAAGGATGCAGAAGTCTTTGAACCAAGAGATTCTCATTCCCAATATTGCACCCACTTGCTCCTCCAGCCCAGCTGGAGAGACTGAGAGACTGAGCGAGCTGGGCCTGTTTAGCTTGGAGAAGAGAAGGCTGAGAGGGCATACACATATATATCTGATTAACATGTATAAGTTTAAGTTCATGAAGGGAGAATGTAGGGAGGAGGGGGCCAAGCTCTTCTCAGTGGTGGCCAGTGACAGGACAAGGGGCAATGGGCACAAGTTGGAACCCAGGCAGTTCCATCTCCATGTGAGACTCTGGAGA